AAAATTAACCTCATAATGTTATGAACTAATGATTACATTAAGATACAATTAATTCCAAAAGTATTCAGTTGAAAACTCTCGAGCAATGAATATCTGAGATATGAATAGCCTATCTGTTTGATAAAAAATCTTCGATTGTAGAATAATGATTGTTTTTTGTATCACCATTCACATTGTAAACAAATTTTGGTAAGGATTAATTAGCGCAAAATAAAATTGGTTTGTTTCATATATAAAAAAAACTTAAATTATTGTTACCTATTAGAAATTATGTATTGTTGTTTACCAACGAATCTAGCAATGATAATTATCCAATTTTGTTGAAACTTTATTCTGGTTTTGATTTTTTCCACTGCACAATCCACAAATCTTGAACCATACCCTCCTGTTTTGATCCTAATATACAGAACCATATCGTGTTTCTGTAAATGCAAATGCAGCGGCTGCAACCGGAATTTAAAAGTCAAAGTTCAACAAAACAGTGAAAGCAGGACACTTCTTCATTTGGTTGCGAAAAAGTAAAAAAAGTGGGCAGCAGGACCGGCTTCGGGGCTTTATACATATCAGCGCCCACGGGGCTTGTGGGTTTTGGTTTATTTTATTAACACTGCGCGAGTATTGAGCCCGCTCAGAGAATTCAAATACACATGTTTGTATGTTAATGGGATGGCTGAAGTGGGAGTTATTCAATTCTGGTTTAGTTACATGTGGGATATTTATCAAAATGTTAATATTATTCGAGCTTTAAATATTTTAGTGACTAGTTTTACGGTTAGAGATTTCTATGAAAGTTTCAGTACGGGCCTATCCGAACTAAACGTTCATGGAATACAACTTTCAATGAATTACTAATCTTCAATTATCAGTTATTTGAGATGGGTACGCAACCTAGGTGCGTATTTCAACCCAAATACGAGTGAAGGGTTAATAACATGGTTATATAACACCATGGTTCATGAAAGCGTTTGGCACGATTATCTAAAGCTCCCCGTAAATAATCCGGAAGTTTCCCGTAAATAATAACAGTTACGGAATGCCGATTTCCCTGATTTAATATAAAACTTTAACTCGATAATCCCTCTTCCATATTATAGTTCATGTTTATTTTTCCGTTGGTTGCTCTACTGAATGTCACCATAGATAAAACGTTGGTTTGTCTATGATGATACGTATGGTGAGAAGTTCCAAACAAGGTATGATGTAAAAGCAAGGATATATTAATATTTAGTTAACAATCAGTTCTTCAATGTAAAAGCATTGAATTTTTTAACATTGAATACTTTATGCATTGCCTAAAACAAGTTAAACTGTTTCGAAGTTTGACACTATTGTGTTAGTTGCTTACAAAAATATTTCGAAAAAAAACTCTGTACTACAGTACTTTGTACGTTCAGGAATGTACGTGTTCTGGAATGTACGTGTCATGAAATCCGACTATTTAGCCCGTTAAGTTTGTTTTAAATATAAACAATTTAATAAGTATTGTAAAAAGATTATTTGCTTGATAGATACAGATCTATAATCATCTAACATCACAAAACTGATTTTAAATTCGCTCACTCATAGTTAAATTTTAAGAGCATTCATCTCATTATAAATCCAATTGTAAAACATTACACTGGATGATGGTAAAAAATTAACCTAAAATGATTTTTATAATATAAACCTTATAAAATTAAAACTATCATTAAAGTATCCATAGTAACTGGTAACACAAATCACTTCCTGAAGAATTGCATTACACAATTGTCAAATAGTTTTCGAATCTTCATCAATAGTGAAACCATGAGTCGTATTCGTCCGGTGGTGGTAGGTGTAGGTGTGGGGTTGGTTGCAGGTTGGGTGTTGGATCGGCTGACCAGGGGGCCGCCTCCTTCTGGAGGTTCGCTTCCTCGGCTGCCATGTTCTTCACCCTCCTCCAGCCATCCTCGCTCCTCACCTCCAGCATCCGGGCGGTGCGGCTGGTGGTAGGGGACAGAGGTTAAAGAGAAGATACGTGCTGCTTGGATGGTGAGAAAACTTAAATCAAAATGAAAGAAAAGCAGCACCAAACAAGGAAAGAGAATGGAAAGATGTTGAATGGAAAAATGTTAAAGAACAGAAGATCTCATTGGATAGATGTTTGAAAACTATAGATACGCTGGTCGCAGAGAATCAACTACTAAATAAAAAAGTTATTGAACTTGAAAAGCGTGTTGATGAAATGGAACAATTCTCTAGGCTTAATGCAGTCGAAATACACGGTGTCCCGCAACAGCCTAACGAGGATGTCATGGAAGTTGTGAAGGCAGTAGGCCGAGCCCTGGATATTGAGGTGAAGGAATCTATGATTAACGCTTGTCATCGTTTGGGCAACAAACCGGGGCCGAACAACGCTCCACCTGGTATCATCGTCAAGTTTGTGCGGCGACTGGACAAAGAAGAGTTCCTTAGAAAACGACGTGTGAAGAGGAATCACTCTACAAGACACATGGATATGCCAATGGACCAGGCAGTGTACGTCAACGAAGCTCTGACACCGGCGAGGTGGCAACTTCTAGGGGCGGCGAGGCAAGTGAGGGAAGATAAGAACTTTCGACACCTATGGGTTTTGTGGCGGGAAAATATTTCTGCGCAAGGACGACGGATCGACTGTTCAGGTGACTTGCCAGGCTGACCCAGAAAAAATTGTTTCAAGTACTCCTTATCACTTCCATTCATAGATATTATTATTAAATTCTTTTGTAATTGATATAATTAAATATTTTGGTTCACATGATTTAAATGAACTTTTTACCAGTTGTAAGTATCTGGGTCTTGATGTAGATGAAGAACTTGGTTGGAAAATTCATGTAAAAAAGCTGAAGGACAAAATTAACAATTCAAACCAAGACAACAAGACCTCTTTTTGTCCAATACCACATTTTTCCATTAAAGTAGTTGTCTTCTAAAAGAGGATGTTTGTAAATATAAATATATATATATACTAGTGTACATGTTGCTCGAATTCAAGCAATTGCAAAGTATTACAGGAGTTATTTTAAAACGAATAACAGTCATATTTACCATTAATTTAAAAGAGTCAACTCAAGATTACCGGTGTGTAGCTAAGACCATTTTTATCTTCGTTATAGATAAACCTAAAGCATTCCTGCCGGTTTTCTCCTTCTCAAAATGCCTCGCTGTACAGGCAACACATGTCATTGATAGAGGGCCAATTGAGAACAAAAAGTCGTTTTGGGGTAGTGTTAAGGCGCATTTGTAACCTAATAGTTGAGATTGTCTAGGGTCAGGTGCTGACTGTGATGAGCCTATTACGCGCCACTGTTCTGTAGCTGCGGTCGTTATCACGACTACGCCTCCTGTCTATGTTTCGTTGTCGTCACGTCGGAGGCATTTAAAAGAAAAAAAAACAAATAAACAAATTATAGCTACACAAAACAACGATAAATGTACAAATTTAAGTTACAATCATACTAACACGATCCTTCATAGCGACACAAAACAACGATAAATACACAACTTTAAGATAGAACCATACTAACACGATCCGTCTTGGGGGTTATGTTTACACAAACTCAAATAGTAAATAAATGTACACAATGCGTTTCATTGAATTGAAAAATAACAGCAATTAAATTATACAGCTGATCAAAATGTAAACAAATATGTTCTCCATAAGGATTACATGGGAACTTTCAAAACTACTGGGGCAGAGCCCAAGGGACTTTAAAAAAAATGTAAGGCCAGTTTGCAAATCTACGCGACACGCTCTTTCCAATGAGACGTCAATGGATAAAATCTTCTAAGAAATGGCGGAGGAGTTCAACCGACAAAGTTTCATGTAGCGTATTAATTATATAGATAAATATATATGAATATAAATATATATATATGCATTTGAACGGATGGTGTTTTTGGCCTCTAGGGACCTCAAAACAAACAAAAAATCGGTCCCGGGTCCAGGTCTTACATGAGTAGCCTACTACGGTAATAGCTTATTCCCTATATGGGAAATTCGCTAATACATATACAGTAGACTCCCTCTTATCCGGACTCCTCGGGACCGAGGCCAGTCCGGATAACGGGGTTTCCAGTTAAACCGACGTCCCCAAAAACTCGTTAAAATGGACTGTTTACTGTGATATTCGACTTAAATTTATGAGAGCATTGTATTTAGACACGTGATCACTGGTCTCAAATCTTTCCCACGAGAACAGTCGTTTCAGTACTGCCCACTTCCTGCCGATCTACTAGTAGTCCGGTTAAACCAATGTGCTGATAAAAATTGTCCGGTGAAAGAGATGTCATTTCCGCCGAGTGTAGTCCGGTTAAACCGATGTCCGGTTAAAAGGTGTCCGGATAAGAGGGAGTCTACTGTATATGCATAGGCCTATCGTTCAATACGTGTGTAATGAACTGCACACTGTACTGTACTGAACAATAATCACTGCGTAGTGCATTAGCTATTGGTGCAGGGCAAGAGGCATTCGCTTGTATAGCAACTAACAAGTTCAATTCCCCCCCCCCCCCCCCCAACCCACCTGCTGTGGATATCGGCGAACTGATGAGTCAACCCCCTTCCATTTTCACCTCCCTACACCGCTGTGGTCAAAACCTTTTAGTTATATATATAAGGGGGGTGCTGCTTTTGGGTTTGCCCAGGGCGCCACTGACCCTTAACGCGGCCCTGGTGGCAAGCAGGATGCACCACTCCAACACTGTACTATTCCACAACTGTACCATGTCCCTTTTGTTATTTTGTACAGTCATTCCAACAGTTGTTTGCCATTTGATTGACTTAACACTATTGTACTAGTGTCTACTAGTGTGACTCTCATGTTGTTGGGAGCAGTTCCTCATCCCTTCCCACACGCCATCCTCTATAACATTTGGTGTGAAATATGTTAGTATTTTAGGTTTAGGCACAAAAGATTAAAGACCTTAAGTGGGCTAAGTATTGTCTTTAAGTAAGTATTTGGTTTTGTCGCTATTAACTTATATGGTTTTAATTATTTCAGGTATCCAATGCCTTTCGACCACAGGAATTGTCTACTCGCCAAGGAAGACTGTACCTGACAGAACGGGGAAGAATATAGTTTTCGTTGATGGTGTTCGAACACCTTTCCTTCTCTCTGGTACCGACTACGCAAACCTGATGCCCCATGAACTAGCTAGGCACTCATTGGTGTAAGTATAGCTATCTACCGTAAAGACCGACTGTAACCCCACTATTTATTAAAATCAGTCTATTCCAAACATAAATTTTGGGAATTATTAATTTTTACTTGTAGGGTTGTTCATTGTTGTTTGTTTTTATTGATGTTGTTTGTAGCTAATTAATGTCTAAAGTGCGTAATTTCTCAAAAGTTAGTGAAATCAATGAGTTGGCGATTTTAGCATCAACACTGAGAACATTTAAGATTCTAGCTATGATTTTGCGAACGTCAACAAGGCTATCAATGTAATTTGATATTATTGAAAATTGTTCTTTCTTTTAAATTTTTTATTAGTCTAAGAATAAAAATATTATAGCATTTGAATACATTTATCAGAGTGACTTAGATTAATAAACTGTAAATGAACTACACTAATCGTTCTTGTTGTTTGCGTTGAATTATAAAAAAAAAATGCATTTCATTTCATTTAATTTATTTAGCCAAATCAACCAATTAAAATTAGTGTTAGCTATCGTGTTAGCCATAATTTAGTACAAAACGAAATTCTCTCAAAACCCGATGTATTTCTTCCCGCAGAGGTCTGATGAAGAAGACAGGTATCCCAAAGGAGTTGGTGGACTACATCGTCTACGGAACTGTGATTCAAGAGGTCAAGACAAGCAACATCGGCAGAGAAGCTGCTTTATGTGCAGGATTCTCAGACAAAACCCCAGCACACACTGTGACAATGGCCTGCATATCTAGTAACCAGGGAATCACTACAGGTATGTCCTATAGGCTACTTGATTCTACGTTTTCCTTACATTACAGGTCTTGAGTGATAGGTGTGCTATTGATAATTCTGGACTTGTTATGTTTGTTGTCTGTGTTGCGTCTACTGTACTCGCAACCCTTATGAAGTCGCTACAGTGTAGGCCTATGTCAGTTATTTCTGTACCTTTTACTTAGGGGTCTACGTGTCAGACTTTTTTGGTTTGGGTCGGGCCGATAATTTTGGTGCTCCTCGCGTTTTGGGCCAAAAGTCAATAGTTACCGGTTTTTTTGTTTTATTTTTTAATTGCGTTTATAATATTACTTGATAATATAATATGAAAAAATATTGTATTTATGTAGGCCTATATTATTTCATTTTCATAACTTATTTACAGCTTGAGTATTGCCTCAACTGCAAGCAGTAGCGTAACAGATTTTTATTGTTATTGTTGTTTATTTACTTATATAGGCTTACCTCCGTCAGTAGTCCAAAATTGTGTCTTTTTCAACTAATGTTGTTCAAAGCTTATGTTTCGTTGCACTGCAACAACGTCAGAGCTTTTTGTCAAAAACATCAAATGATTTATACATAAAACAAAACACGGAACACGAAACATTTAAACACGTAATAACACGATAGCGCTATCGACACGGCACGTGTTATTACGTGTTTAAATGTTTCGTGTTCCGTGTTTTGTTTTATGTAATAAATCATTTGATGTTTTTGACAAAAAGCTCTGACGATGTTGCAGTGCAACGAAACATGTAAGCTTTGAACAACATTAGTTGAAAAAGACACAATTTTGGACTACTGACGGAGGTAAGCCTATATAAGTCATTATTCGTAGTCCAGGGGCTATCAGAATGAATAATTGTTTATTTATGTTTTGATTCAGTTTGTCTTGAGTTGTGATGAAGCTAGTTTTCTGATATTACAATATTAAATTAGTTTGATATAAAATTTGTTTTACTTCAAATAAGTAGAGTTATCAACAAAACTGTAGGCCCCTTAGTTGCCATTGGCTGTATGGGCTATTAATTAACAGCTGTGTATAAGGAACATGTCGGCCTTAGTCACTAAAAGACTATAAGGTTGCGCCACTCATCCTACACTCAACTCCATTCATACTTGGCTTAAAATACCTACATTCGTATGGTCGCCATTTTAAAGTAAAGTATTTATTTAGTTTGATCTAAGGTAAATTGCCAAATACCGTGACTCACCCAAATACTGTGATTCTCGTACTTTCTCGCCAATAACAAGAATATTGTTGGTCAAAGACGTTTAATCTTTATATAAGAAGTAAATTCAACTTTTGGAGTTTATTTTAAATGTCTTTGATGGCTGCTGGTGCCATGTTGTCTGGCTCATATATCAGTTTGAATGATGACGTTTCACGAAACAGGTGTTTTCCTTTAGGTTCTTAGTGATTCAAACAAGGAAAGAGGTGAGTGGATTAAGCTTTATTTTAGTATATTTTTATATTACATAGACAATATACGTATATTTTGAACGAATATGAGTTACTGTTTTGTTATAAACCTATTTTAAGCTGGTCATTGAAATTATATTTTAGAAAAATGCATCACTGGGATTAGCAATGCAAGATTGCTATTTTCTAAATGCCGTGACAGAATCATGGGGTTTAGAGTAAACATTATATTTTTAAGTTATAAAAATAATAACTTTTTATATAATAAGACTATTAAATATGGTAAAATAGTACTTTTGAGTGGGCTGAATTCGCTGCTAAAGTCCGTTTTTAGTTTGGGTTGTTCAATAAATATGTACAACCAAGATAAATCAACCTCAATTCTTAGGCTAGGCCTATTTAAGAGACAGGCAAGTTGCAAAATCGTTAATTAAAACACTTAGTTTAATTGTAAGTTCAATAATAATTTGTAACTAGATTTATTCATTTTTCTCTTTCTTAAATTGGTGTAGGCTACTCGTTTATGGGCATTTTATGAATTTCAATGCATTTAAATGTTGAAAAATCGCATCCACGGAAATTAATTAGCAGAGAACGATCGTTTTTTTTCAATACTGTGATTCTCTTGGGTTTATAGTTTTTCTCTGTTTATTTCAAGTTTAACTAAGATATTTATATTTTAGCCTTTAGTTTTGTTTTCAGAATGCCAAGAGAGAAGTTTTCTCTCTTAAACAGACCTATTCCCAAGATGTACTGGCAGGGCCATTCTTGCTATGCTGGGGGCATAATGGCGATAGGGCTGGAATGCTACATCCCAATTCCCTCAACATGAGTCACATTCCATTGGTGGCATACTAACAAATACTTAAGAAATTGAAAATAAAATACGTCCAAAATACCAGAGCTCTCACTCCAATTCCCCCCCAACATGAGTCACATGCCATTGCTGGCATACCAACCAATACTCAAGATATTGTATATATAGATATTGTATATTTAAAATCCAAAATTGAGGCTTTGCAAATAACTTTGAATGAAATAAAAGCACATATTGTTATCTTGACAGAACATGATATGAAAGAGGAAGAAATTGAGCGCTTAAATATAGAATACTATTCTGTAGGGTCATATTTTACTCGGAAGCTGTCACGCAAAGGTGGGGTAATGTGACTATCTACCAATGAAATGAAACAAAAAATAGTTACAATTCCTGACTCTTTGAAAAATAAATTAATAGAAGAAAAACAGTTTGAATTTTGTATATGTAAATTTTTAATTAACAATTTTAAAGTAGTAGTTGTAGCAGTTTACAGATCCCCTGTAAGTCAAGAGCTGAAACATTTTTAGACAGATTAACTGTACTTTTAGAATTTCTGAACAATAAGTATAAGTGTATCATTGTTGCAGGGGATATTAATATACAGGGTGAATAAAAAGTCAAGACCCCCCCCCCTCTAATATTTTTCCAAGTAAATATACAGATTTATCCTTTAGGTGGTCGAGCAATCTTAGCAGGAAGTTTAATTTTATCATTTTGAAATTTTTGAGTGTCCCTCCAAAAGGGGGGATTTGGGGGGCAACTCAAATATTTTAAATGTAAACCCCCTTCAAGTGACACCTCATTTTGAAGAGTTTACAAAAACTTAAAGAATGGTGAAAACTAGAGGTTTCTATCTCTTCTCTATCCAAAATGGTAGCCCGTCAAATGTGTGTCAAATGTTGTCAAATTTTTATCAATGGTAAAATTGTTAATATTGGCTGCCATTTTGGATAGAGAAGAGATAGCGAGCTCTGGTTTTCACCATTCTTTAAGTTTTTGTAAACACTTCAAAATGAGGTGTCACTTGAAGGGGGTTTACATTTAAAATTTTTGAGTGTCCCCCAAAAGGGGGGATTCGGGGGACAACTAAAAATGTTTCAATAGAAACCCCCTTCAAGGGACACCTCATTTTGACGTGTTTATAAAAACGCTCACTCACCTTTTGGTTGGAAATTAGCTGTTGTCATAAATAAAAAAAAAAAATTGTGCTGCACCGTGTTGGTAATCCTTGTAACTTTGATGCTATTGAACATCATAGAACAGAACCAACTTGTTTAATTGAAACAGCTGTTAAGATTCATTAATTCCTTTTAAATATGAAAAATCATAAGGTTAACATGGGGAACTACAGAGCCACTGGGGCGGATCCCGAAAGGATTTTTGAGATAAGAATATGCTTTAATGTTAATCGGGAATGTGAGCTATCATCATGCCAAATTTCAGCCCAATCCGTCCAGTAGTTTATGCGTGATTGAGCAACACACACACAAACTCACAAACTTTCAGATTTATAATATTAGTAAGATTTATTGCTGAGCTCGGGATTTAGCTAAGTTCTAGACTTAAACCGGCTTTAGACTCTGGAGTCTAAGAAATGGCTTGCTGAGATAGGGCGTTAACGAAGTCCAGAACTTATTAGACTCCGGAGTTTATTTGGCTGGTTAGACTCTGGAGTTTAAAAATTGACTTGCTGAGACAAGGACCTATAAGTCCAGAACTTAACTTAGATTCTCGTCTCTTGCTGAGACAAGGATCTAGTAAAATCCGTTAAGTCCAGAACTTAAAACACTACGATTTTAGATCCTCGGCAAGGGCAGGATTTAAATTAGATTCTAGACTTAACAGAGTGTATTAACCTTGTTTGCGCGTTATATCATCATCATATTAGAACGTATATATTAGGTATCCATATTATGTATCATCCTAGAAACTGGAATTGATAATTTAAGACATGCTATTTTTTTTAATTGACAAACATCCGCTAACAAAAAAGAATATTTGTTTGCCCGTGATTTATTTACTACGAAACCGATGTGTTTAATTTACAAAAATGACAATGTTTCAATTTTTACATATTGCAATAAAACATTGTTTTAGAAAAATCCTTGTAGTAAATTTTAGTAAATGTAATTCCTGCTCTATCTTATAAGTAGTTTGAGACACCCAACATGCAGAGTCGAATGGGTTAGAGTTATGACTTCCATTCTTATTGAATATCATACTCGATTGTGAACTAATGGTAGTACTCACTTATACTTAAATGCGACATGCACTTATATGTACTATATTAAACTTTTACTACGACTGTACTATATAGTATTTTATCATGGGCTTATTAAAACATTACTTATCATACTTTTAACTCAGTATATTCGACCAGTCCCATTTGTAACCATATTTATAATTTACAAAAATCTACTTGGAAAAAGAGTATGTAATATAAATAGTAATTAAAATATTATTCATGTAATTGATTCAACTATATACAAAAACACAAGAACTATATACACAATACTTAACCTTATATTTACATTTTATTTTCTACACAAGCTCTATACCACACACATTTTACAAAGTCCATAGCCCAATTTACCCTCTCCTAACTGTAAAGGTTTTTCTGTTAGCCACTTTGCCTTTAGATTACTTTTTTCAAGTAGGTGTTAGGGTTGGTACTATTCATGAGTGGATACGTGTCTATTTGAACTGATTTCAAACATTTGACAAATTTGAAAATGTTTGGGCCAGGCGACGTACAAGC